CCAGGGTGCCCTGGGTTTCTTGGATCTCGATGGGCTCCCAATCAGATCTTGACGATTTTCGATCGACGCATATGGATTTTCACGGAACAGATCGTGGATCTCCGGGTTGGGTTTCTTGCGGAGGTTTCCTGTGGCCGAGCCCCCCCCCCCCCAACATGGCTTTCGGGGCTTCCCCGGGGCCTCCCGGGGCTTTTTTTCCTCGGACCGCCCGCACGGGTCCTCTCGGCCGCCGGGGCCGCGCCGCGCCGTGCGGCGCCGTCCCCGTGGCCTTCCAGGAAACGCGCTCTTGAACCTCGAGGGTAGAACTTGGAGGATCTAGACTTCGATCATTGAGGTTCGTCCTGCGTGTCGGCCTCGGACTGCCCGTTTCTGGGCACCTGGGCCGTCAGCCCGGCGTCGGCCTTCAAGGGCGGCTTCTCATCGCCACGGTGGGATCCGCCTCGAGACTCTGGCCCTCACGTAGTCCACGGCGTGCTTCTGAGCCGATGTCTCATCGCTGTACAGCCAACCCGCATAGTAATGATGGGCAACCTTCCCTAGGGTACCCTTGCATCCTTGCCTCCTCGGCCCATTCTTGGCCCTTTCCCCGGCCGGGCCCCGCTCGACACGCTTCGAAATGGCCCTCCGAGGCCCTCGCATCCTAACCGCGCCTCCTTCCTACACGGGCTGACTGCACCCAGAACTCTCCGCGCCGTCGAGGCATCACGACTGCTTCTGGGCAGCGCTCCGGCCTCCCGGGGCCCTTGCCGAGACCCCCCCGGCACGGCCGGCACACGACTCGGGACAGCAGGCTGGTCCCAGTCGCCCTGCCTAATTAGGGGAACAAGAAGTGGCATAAACATAAAAACTCGGAGGTCCGCGCGGACCTCCGAGATTTTATGTTGATGCCATTTTTTGTTCCCCTACTGCCCGCATCGGCTGAGAATGTACGGCCAACCCGTATAGCAAGGATGCGCGGTAAGGATGCAAGGGCCTTGGAGGGCCATTCCGATGCTTTTCGAGCGGGGCGCGGCCAGAGAAAGTGGCCAAGGATGGGCCGAAGGGACAAGGATGCAAGGGTATCCTTGGGAAGGTTGCCCATCCTTATTGTGCGGGTTGACTGTCTGCGGCCGAACGCAAAAATGTGACAAACAATGGCCTTGGCAGTGTGGCCGGGAACGCAGTGTGACCGAACTTGCGACCGATGCAGAAAACAGTTTTGCTTCCGAACCAGCCAGTCAGGGTACACTCTGTCGCGGTCGGAGGATGTCGGGCGCCAGTTTCTGTCACACTCGGACGCAGTTTCGGTCACCACAAGCCCCCCTGACAGAGACGAGGCGAAGTGAGATTTCCAAGGGTCCGTAACCACTGTTTTGGCTCGAGGGCGTGTGGGCCCGGCACCCGCCCGCGGGGGGGTGGTCTTGAGGCATTTCGCCTTCTTGCCGGTCGCCTGTCCGTCCAGTCGCTGCTGGCGGCTGGTGTCATGGTCATGGAGCATACTTATCAGTGGGTAAGCCTGTCAATCTCGGAGGCCTGGAGATCGGCACCAACAGCGCAGGAGGCTGCCTGGACTGGGGAAAGTTGATCCTAGCTTTTGGTGGCGCCGATTGTATGTCCACCCTCCTCAGGAGCCCGAATGCTGCCACCATCACCGCGATCGGGAGCATCTTCCCGCGAAGGAGGACCGCCGATACTGATGTTGGTGCCGGCCTCTAGGCCTCCGATAATCTCCATCGTCCTGCTGGGGCTCCACATCTCGCTCGTGGCGTCCAAGTCGGCGTGCGTGGCCGCCTTTGGTTCTCTGAAGTCTGTCCTCGCGTGGCCCCGATGGAGAGGTGCGCGTGAAACAAAAGAATCGCCGATGGAAACCCTCGTAGCGCAGATGACGGCAAAGAAGCGGGAGGAGTTGGTCATGATTGTCTCATCGGTGTCGCAGGGTTTTTTGTGTTTGGCGATTTTGACGGGCGGCATTTTCATCGTCAGAGGTCACACCCGCATCAGGAACCTCGAGCAAGACGTGATTTTGTTCACAGCGTTCGGATTACAGTTGATCTCCCAGTGGGACCGCAAGTTTGGCTCCAGCCGCATCCCCGTTCTGTTTGTGTATGCGGTCGGGATGGTTACCTCGACGGCTTTCGTGAGCTCGACAACAAGCTCCCGCTTATCGATGGTTTTGGTCAACACATTCATGGTTATCCCACGTGTCATATTCAGCCTCGCTTACGTGAAGTCTGGAACAGTATGCCTCGCTTGTTTATTGCACACCGTTGCTGCGAGCCTGACGTACACGTACAGGCTGGAAGACCTCAAGTGCGAGGCCTCGGTCATTTCCATATCCCCGCTTCTATTCGCGTTCAACGACTCCCTCTGCTCCGCCATGGTGGTGTTCCTCACTCTCGGCTGGGAGAGGACCATGACGCTTCACGCCAGAAAGGAGCTCGAGGTGGCCGCGACGCGGGGCGAGACCACCGCCACCCGGAGGCTGCTGAACACGATCTGTGACGCCACCTTCGAGCTCGACGCCAACCTCCGCACAGTGGACGACGCGCTGCAGCTGGCAAGCGCGCTGCAGCACGGCTGCGACCGGTCGCTGCGGGGCGCGCAGGTGGAGCAGCTCTTGGTTGCCGAGGACCGCGGCACCTTCAGAGAGCGCATCACGGCGCCCGTCCTCGCCTGCCAGTCGATGGCCAACGTGCTGCACGTGCGCATGCGCGACAGCCTCAACAACATCCTCAAAGTCGAGCTCTTCCACGTCCCCGTCGCCGCCTCGCTGACCGGCGCGTCCCACCTCATCTCGGCGGCGACGACAAGGGCGAATAGCCCAGGGGCGGGCATCACACGCATTCGCCCGGGAGCCTTGCCGAAGACATGAGTCATCGGCGCCCCTGGATAACATGTACTGCCCTCCCCTGGGCTACTCGCCCCTCTCGCCGCCTCCGACCATCGGCGTCCGCGAGCACGCGGACTACGGGGAGTACCCGCTCCAGCTGCTCGGCGTCGGGCCCGCGGACGCGCTGCCCGGCCGCCGCGAGGCCCCGGTGCTGGGCGCCGCCTCCCACCGGCTCGAGCTGCTGGCGACGAGGTTCGGCACCCCCGCGGTCCCCGCGCCCGAGCCCAGCAGCGGCGGCCTCGAGGCCTCGGCGGCTCGCCGCGCGAGGCGGGCCCCGAGCTGGGAGCTCCCTCGCGGCGCCCTCGACGGCGGCCCCCAGCCGCTGCTGTCCGTGAGGTTCGACACGGCCTCCCTCCTCGTCCTCGAGTCCTCCGGCACCCACTCGGAGCTCTTCTGCGCCGGCGCCAGCCTGCTCAGCTTCGCCCCAGCCCAGCAGGAGTTCTTCACCGACCTGAGCGCGAGCGTCCTCTCCCTGAGCCGCACGCTCCTCTCCGTGCGCAATGCGACGTTCACGTTTCAGTCGGCCATTGCAGTCGTTCATGATGGAGTGATGCTGGAAGGCCCGTGCACAGTTTTGCTGGCCAGGGGCACAGAACATGAGACGCTCACTTCATCCGAACCCCCAATAGAGGCGTGTGTTCAAGTTACACAGCCAATGAGGAAGGCCGAACCCAGAAGGATCAGAAAGCCACCGTCAGGTAGCTTCAGCAGCGAGCGGAGCAACAGTATGAGCAGGAGCGCGAGCAGCGTTGGCAGGATCAGCAACTCGTCGTATCTGATGCTATTGATGCAGGGCATCCACCAGGACGAGATGCCAAGTTCATGCCGGAATGCCCCGAGCCAGCCGCAGGCTGATGGCGATTTGACGTTTGACGTGTGATTGCGCGAGAGGAGGTGCCGAGTCGCAGCGGCGACAGGGGTCCACGCTCAAGCGCAGAACGCAGAGCCCTCACTGGAGGGAATGAGTAGGGGTAGGAGGCTCAGGACTGGAAGCCTTTCGATTCCGAGTGCCCGAGCCTTTTCCCCGTCGGTCGCGCTCCACGGCGCTTCGTAGCGCCCAGCTGGACACCTGAGTGTGTGGCCATGCTTTCTTTTCGCACTCACCAGCACCAGGGTGACAACGTGCGGTATAGCCCCGTCCATGAAAGCATCCCCGTGTTGTCGGCACCCCCTGTTTGTGTGGCCCGAGGCAGCTGGGCCATGAACGACCGCGGTCGGCTAGCAGGCCCGAGCGCCTGCGTTTGCGGCTAGACACTTCTCTTGCGCTCGGTCGCTCCCATGTGTTCGCTCATCTCACTGTCCCGCCTTGACCTGGTAGTCATAGCAGCAAGATGTCAAGGTACTGCAGCGTTCCAAGGGTTTGCACGGCTCCCAGATACATGTCTGTTCTGCACGGGCTCCAGAAACGAGAGACGGCAGATATTCCAGAATTCCTGGAACGCATTCTGAGACAATCGTATAATGACACCAATCTGACATCAATATGTGCTTGTGCATCGCAGCAACCACGCTAGTGAATCTCATATGGGGTGTGCACGTGTCAGTCCCCGCGGCCTGTTGGCACAACGTGCCAAACAAGAGTAATCAAAAGACGGGTTTAAGCTGGACCAGCTAGCCCCTGTTAATACAGGCGACGACTACCAGGCTCCATGCCCACTCATGTTTCACTGTGCTTCCGCTGAGTGAGTGCACCAGGCGTCACTCTGTACCAGCGCAGGAGGAGCCCAGCGGCAGAGGTGAGGAGGCGAGGTCAGGGAAACGACAGACGAAAGAACGACGCGACAGGGGAGGGGGGCTCGGGGAAGAGAGGGGAGGGATGGAAGAAGGGAGGGGAGAGAGGGAGGGAGGGGAGGGAGGGGAGGGAGGGAGGGAGGGGGGAGGGAGGAAGACAGGAGAGGGGGGAGGGGAAGGGAGGGAGTGATGGGGAGGGAGGGAAGGGAGGGGAGGGCAGGGAGGGGGGGGGGGCTGCAGCTCCCGCGCCCGCCCTGCCGCCCGCGCGCCAGCTCCGCGGGAGGCGCGCCGCCGCCGCGCCGGCGGACCGCCCGCGCGCCGCGACGCGCCCGCACGGGGCCTCTGCGGGGGACCTTCGGCCGCCCTGCCGGGGGGGCTCCCAGCGGAGCGGCGCGGTGGCCTTCGCGGCGGGGCGGGGGCGGGCCCTGCGCGCCGCCGGCGGCCAGCACGGCCGAGGGTCTCCCGGGGGTGCCCAAGGGGTGCGCGGCGGGGGGCGGCCGCAGGCGGAGGGAGGCTCCTCCTCCTTCTCCTCCTCCTCCTCCTCCTCCTCCTCCTCCCCCTCCTCCTCCTCCTCCTCCTCCTCCTCCTCCTCCGCGGGCTGCGCACTGGGCGCTGCCGCGTGTGCGCTGCTGCGGTGCTGGACCTGGGCGCGCGGAGCGCGCGCGCGCGTGCGCGATGCCAGCGGCTCATGGTGAGCCCGGTCTGCAGTGGCTTTCGGCCGCCTGTCTGTCTGCCTGTCTGCCTGTCTGTCTGTCATCATCGCTTTGCCTCTCTCTCTCTCTCTCTCCTTCTCTTTCTCTCTCCATAGGCGCCTCTCTTTCTATCTCTCTCCCTCATGTTCCCTACTCTTCCAGAGTTTCACCCCATGCTTGAATTACGTGCGCAAATTCCACGCGTCTCAAGGGCATTCCAGCGTAGCGCGCTCAACGGCCCTGCAGTCTGCGCTATGTACCATTCAATGTTTGCAGACTATCGCTTGACTCCCTTAACAGTGGAGAGCCTAGCCAGGCCTCGGAACTCCCGAGGCACCAAACAAAGTTGATTTCCAGCGGACCCCGATGCGAAGAAGTATCACGACGTCGGGGGTCTTGTATTGGGGCCCGTTTGGTTGTTTGTGTTGCGTTGAGACAATTTTGCGTTGTGTTGGATCCCCAGGAACATATGGAAAATATGGGAAGTGGGGGGAAGACGAAAACCCAGAAAAGTATGAGAAAATATGGGGAGTCGTTTTATTTGTGTGTATGTATTTGTGTGTCCCAGGGCCCCTTCAGTTGTGTCGGTTTGGCCGTTTGGTTGGCCAGCAGCAGATTGAGCTGTCGAATGCCTGAGGGATCTCCTTCTGCTGCCGCCGCTGCAGCTCCTTCCAGAGGCCCCGCGGGGGCCTTCGAGGAGGGCCTCCGAGGAAACCTCCCCCGCAGGGGCCTTCACGCCTATCTCGCAGGGCCTGCAGGCAGGCCTCCCTGGGGACCTCCCGCCAGGCAGCTTCCTGGGACGAGGCATGCGAGCGGCGGTCCCAGGGGAGTGCCTCGCAGGGTCCAGCACTGCCTCCGCCCAAGGGTCCGTCTGGCCCCGTGGCCGGCAGGACCCGCTTCGCTTATAGGACCCCTTGTGCGCTCACCCGCCACCTCCTCTTCCTGTGTACGCAATCAAAGGGAAGGGAAGGAGGGAGGGATAGGATGTCAAACAACTGGCGTTTGCCCCCTGGCGATAGCAACAGGCGTGACTGGGGGAAGGGTGGGCTGGGGGGGAGGAGACCAGTCACGCCACGATTCGTGCCGACGCCGTTTGATAATGCCTATGAATGATGAGTGGTTCATTCCCGGACGGCGCGGGCGCGAATCGGGACCTGGCTAGGGAGGGGGGGAGCGGTGCTGGTCACGGTTGTTATCGCGAATGCTGAGAAATGGGCTCCAGTTGTGGCGCGAGCGCACCTGGCTTGACAGTTGCACCAATGTAATATATTATCCTCTCTCTCTCTGTCTCTCCCTCTCTTTCCTCTCCCGAGTACGGCCTGAGAGTGTTCGCCCCCCTCCTCGTCTTGTTTTTACGCAGGGGGTGTGCGAACTGGCTTTGCATTTTGTTGCGTACAAACTGGCTCGGCGCTGTGCTCCCATCGTTCGGAGTGGCGCTCCCCCCCAGCGTGAGCCACCTGCCTGGATCCCACAGGTCTCGCAGGTCCCACGGGTCTCGCAGGTCTCGCAGGCCCCACAGGTCCCACATGTCCCACAAGACCCACAAGTGTCGCAGGTCGCCCCACAGGTTCCACAGGTACCCTCGTCCTCTTCTTCCTCCTCCTCCTCCTCTTCGTTCCTTCCTCGCCCTCCTCGCCCACTCGCCCAGGCAATCATTGTGACGAGGTCTGGGTCGCTCGCGAAGCCTAGCTGCTCCAGTCACGCTCATCATCCTCAGAATTTGTCCGCTTGGACTGGTGCAACTCTTTGCCTTGCCAGTTACATTAATTACATTGGGACGGTCGTATAGTTGAATGGCTGGGGAGCTTGATAATCGGTCCTCTGTTCTGAGAGGGTCCTGAGTCTCCCGCAATCGTTTTGCGTTTTGCAATTATCCACCACCAGTTGGTACCAGTGCACCCTGAAGGCAAGCAGGGTGTTTGGCGGCGCGCTGGCAATATCTCTCTGACAACACTCCTCCACTGCTCTGACATCCCCCATCATTGGATAACACAGAGAGCCCATACTGGCGGGCCGCTCTGCGGTTGATCGGGAGTTTCTGTATATAGAAGAAGGGACGCGAGCTTCTCGGCGAGAGGGAAATGATCGAGATGAGAATGAGCGTGAGGATCAGGAGGGCGAGGCCCGCGAGGGGGAGGATCAGGAGAGTGAGGGTCACGCGGGCGAAGATCAAGCGAGCGTGGAGCAGGAGGGTTAGGATGTGGAGACGGAGGGCCAGGAGCGCGAGGATGGCGAGAATGAAAATCAGGAGGGTGGGGATCGGGCGGGCCTGGCGTCCCCCGCTGCCACGCCGGCAATCTCCAACTCCTCCTCTTCTTTCTCTGCCTTCTCCAACTCGACTCGTCCTCCTCCACCTCGTCCTCCTCCTCCCTCTCCTCCTCTTCCTTGTCATCCTTCTCCCCCCCCCTTGGGATTTCCCAGACGTTGCCTGAAACGGAACAGGGGGGCCTCTGAGGGCCCCCTCGGGGAGGCTCAGGGGACCGGTTTTACTGAGGATGTCCCACGCGAGGGCGCCAGTTTGGAATTCTTCTCAGATTTCTTAGATCTCTCCGGATTTCCCGAGTCTCGCCGGAAACGGAGGCTTCCTTGGGGAGGCTCCGGGGGCCGGTTTTTCTGAGGATGTCCTTCGCGAGGGCGCCAGTAGTTTGGAATTCGTCGACGGATTCGCCAGATATCCTAAACCTCGCCTGAAACGTAGCAAGAGGGCCTTTGAGAGCCTCCGTGGGGAGGCTCTGGGGGCTGGTTTTTCTGAGGATGTCCCACGCGAGGGCGCCAGTAGTTTGGAATTCGTCGCCTGATTCGCTGGATTTCCCGGATCTCGCCTGAAACGGAAAAGGGGGGCGGCTTCCTTGGCGAGGGCGCCAGTTTGGAATTCGTCGCGGGATTCGCCAGAATCGGAACAAGGTGGGCCTCTGAGGGCCTCCTGGGGGGGGCTTCGGGGGCAGTTCTTCTGAGCATGTCCCGCGCGAGGGCGCCGGTCTGGAACTCGTCGCCGGATTCGTTGGATTCGCCGGATTTCCCGGATGTCGCCTGAAACGGAACGGGGCCCGTGGGCCTCAGAGGGCCGCCTTGGAAAGCTCCAGGTTTAAGTCGGGCCTGTCCGGGGGGATATTCAAAAATAGTCAAAACATAGTACGGGGACTATTTTTTGAGTTTTTTGGGGCATCTTTTTGTTCGTCCAAAATCCCCCTGTAGGGGGACAGGCCCGACCTAACTCCAGTTGCTGCTTTTTATGAAGATGTCCCACGCGAGGGCGCCGGTTAGGAATTCGTCGCCAGATTTGCCGGATTCGCGGGATTGGCCAGATTCATTGGATTTCCCGGACGTCGCCTGAAACGGAACAGGAGGGCCTCTGAAGGCGCCTTGGATGGGCTCTGGGGGCGGCGCGAGGGCGCCGGTTTGGAATTCGTCGCCGGATTCCCCGGATTCGCTGGATGAGGCGGGAATTGATACATGACCACCGCCTGAAGTTTGGAGGGTCAGTTTTCGGAGCCTCGGCAGGCGGTGGATATGGACATTTTCGGGCCCGCGGGGGCCGAAATTTATCCATATCAACTGCCCGCTGGGGCACCAGGACGTCGGTTCCCAGGCGGTGGATATGGATAAATCTCCGCCTCGCATGGATTTGCCGGATTCGCAGGACGTCGCCTGAAACGGCACAGGGGGGCCTCTGAGGGCCTCCTTGGGGAGGTCCTGGAGCAGTTCTTCTGAGGATGTCCCACGCGAGGGCGCTGGTTTGGAATTCGTCGCCGGATTCTCCGGATATGCCGGATTCGCCGGATTTCCCGGACGTCGCCTGAAACGGAACAGGAGGGCCTCTGAGGGCCTTCTCCACGCGAGGGCGCCAGTTTGGAATTCGTCGCCGGAGTCCCGGGATTCTCCGGATTTAGTTCCCGGGCGTCGCTTGAAATGGAACAGGGGCCGGGGTGGTTTTTCTGAGGATGTCCCACGCGAGGGCGCCGGTTTGGAATTCGTCGCCGGATTCGTTGGATTCGCCGGATTTCCCGGATGTCGCCTGAAACGGAACACGGGGGCCTCTGAGGGCCTCCTCGGGAAGCCTCCAGGGGGCCTTTTTTTCTGAGGATTCGCGCGAGAGGGCGCCGGTTTGGAAGTCGTCGCCGGATCCCCCGGGTTCGCCGGATGCCCTGGACGTCGCCTGCACAGGGGGAGGCGGTCGGCGGGGCCATGGCTTCGCGCGCCGGGAGTCAGGATGGCGTGGGTTCCACTGGAGCGCCCTCACAGTATGTCTGCCTCTCTTTGGTGCACTCGCTCTCGCCAGTGGTTTCAGCCAGAGTCAATGGGGTCTTGCAGTGCTGCATTTTGCGGTATGCCGGTCCACTATGGCCTGGACTCTAGAGTTGGCGGCCTCTGCTAGTGAGTTTAACTCGCCTTCTCGACCAGGCGTGCCAGGCTCGTTGTATCGCCAGTTCGTTGCGATTGCTTACGCTATTGGCTCGCGTCCGGAACAGATTTTCCGCCTGGACTGGTGCCCGCAGCAGGCAGCTACAGAGTCGCGTCGACGAGATCACTCTGGCGCGGTGCGATTTACATTACCTGTACGACCGCCCTTCGGGTGATAGCGAGGTTCGGGGGGGAACCAACGTCTCACTCGATCGGTCTCACTATCGATCTCACTATCGGTCTCGCTCGATCGATCTCACTCGATCCATCTCACAATCGATCTCACTCGATCTATTTCATTCGGTCGATCTCACAATCGATCTGACTATCGATCTCACAATCGGTCTCACTATCGATCTCACTATCGATCTCACAATCGATCTCACATTTTGTCTCACTATCGATCTCGCGCCCCACCGGCCCCCGGAAAGGAAACATTTGGTCCGGCCGCGCCTCAGCCGGAGGCGGGACACCGGCGGGACACCGCGCCCCACCGGCCCGCGGAAAGGAAACATTTGGTCCGGCCGCGCCTCAGCCAGAGGAGACTTTCTTCTCGCCCGCCCACGCAGCTTCGCCTCGCCCGCACGCACGGCACGCACGAGCACGAAACCGAAACCGATTTCTCGTTAGGGGGGCTCTCCGTTCCACTTCGATCTCACCCCCTCACCTCCGATCCTGGTTCCATGTGCGCGCCTTCGTAGCCAGAACTGGCACGCTTGATATTGTCTATAGTTCGCCTGAGCGCACATTATAAAAGCAGGCACCACCGGTCTGACAGGTCCCACGGGTCTCGCACCACGGGCTCCTCAGGCCTGACCTGTTTCCCGCAGGCCCCACAGGGTCCCAGGCCCGTCGCATGCCTCAGGGGTCCCGCACGAGGTCCCACAAGTCCTCTGCAGGACCCGCCGTTGCCTCGGACCCCACAGGCCCCGCAGGCCCCACGACGCCCACAGCTCCCACGGGCCCCACGAGGCCACACAGAGGCCCCCCGGGTCGCACGGGTCCCCGCAGTTTCCGCCCGTCCGACTGCGCACCGTACGGGGGCCGCGGGCCCGCGCCCGCGATCGGGGACGTGCGTCCTCGGGCCTCGGGCCGCGGGCGTGGCCGCGGGCCCGCGCTGCCTCGGGACGGGCCGGCCCGGCGCCGCAGGCCCCCGAGAGATCCAGGAGATCCCCCGAGATCGGTTCAAGAGACCCCCCCGAGGAGGGCCGAACCCTCGAGATCCAAGGGAGCCCCTGAGATCTCGGGGATCCCGGAGGTCCCCCCGAGATCCAGCGTCGCAAGAGAGAGTGCCGCGTCGCGAGAGGCCACCACCGGGGCCCCGCAGGCGTGCTTCTCTCTCTCCCTAAAGGCCCCACACCCGTCACGGCCCCAGGGCCCGAGGCCGGGCCAGATCGTGCGGCGGGACAGGCGCGCAGCGGTGTCCGATCGCAGGGTCGGCGCGCCCGCTCCGCGGGTCGGCATCCGAGCCGGGTGGGGGGCGCCCCGTGCTCAGGCCGCGGGCGTGCTGCGGGTCAAGGCGGAGGCGGCGGAGGCCGAGGGCGGGGGCTCGGGGCGGGGCCGCGCAGGGGCGCCGTCCACGGCGGCCGCCGGCATCGAGTGGCACTGACGCTGGCGGCGCTGCGCGAGCAGCTCGGGGGCTCAAACACTGGCACGAGGGCACGGCCGTTCGGGGGTCCGCGCGCGGACTTCTCGGGTCGGCGCCGGGCCGCCCCTGGCGCGTGCTGCGCGCCAGAGGGGGGGGCGGGTCGAGCGCCGATCCAGGACCCGAGCGGGGAGTCCCGAAAGTTTTGGTTTCTGCCTTTGTTGTGCCCCTCGAGAGTTGTAGATCTTCGCGTGCTGATTCGTCTCTCGAAGTGCCGTGCAGTATAACAGGCGTGCTTCTCCTCCCCTCCTCCCCCTCTCAGAGGAGGGCAAGTTGGGGCAACGGTAGTTGGTCTTGGGGGGGGTCTCCTCGTCGCCACAGCTGGACGCAGCTAGAGAAATTGATGGGTTGGGACCCCTGTTTTGAGCTGCCCTTGTCTCAACTCGCCCTGGCCCGATCCTCCATCTGAGGGGCTAGGTTCTACAGACACGAGATAATTATTCGCCGCCCTGGGAGCCGATGTCCCCACAGAGCCATGTGGACATGCGTATTGGAAAGCCTTGCGGCCAGTGCCGCCGATCCTGAAGGAAGACGACGACCACAACGGCGGCGTCGGCGACGACGACGGCGCTGACGTGGGGCAGAGTCCTCAGTGATGCTTCGTGGGGCCTCTTCGGAGCGCGCTCGTAGGCCTCTGGGGGACAGTTTTGGGGCCTCTTAGAGGCATCTTGGCGGGGGGCCTCTTAGGAGCCTCTCGGGAGTCCCTTCGGGCTTCCTGGGGGCCTATCGGGAGCCTTTTGGGGCCTCGCGGGAGTCTCTTGGGGGCATCTTGGGGCTTCCTGGGAGCTTCTCGGGGCCAAGGTCTCGAAATGTTCGTTCGGTCTCCCGTGTGGGCACCCTCTTGGAGCCGTTTTGGGGGGCTCTTGGGCCGTCTGGGAGGCCTGGGGCCGTCTTGGAAACCTCTTGGGGGCCTCTTGTGCCGATCTTGGTGGCATCTTGGGCCTTCTTGGGGCGGCGGGAAGCCGAAATAACGAGAACGCCAGAAGTGTCAAAAACAATTACACCAAAAGCATGTGATTTTGCCTGTTGGGGCTCTCTTAGCTCTTCGAGCGTCTTGGAAGCCGCTTGAGCTGCCAGGAGTCTTGGACCGATTGTTCTGCGATTCGGAACCTTCTTGGACCGTCTTGGGGGCCTCTTGGGCTGTCTTGAGGCCTTTTTGGGCTCCAGGTCCCCTGGGGGAGCATGGTATCCTGTCCCGGGCCTCGCCCCAGGACCCCCACCGGGATCCCCCCAGGACCCTCCCGGGACTCACGGCAGGACCACACCCCCCAGGATCGCCCCCTCTCCCCCCCCCCAAGGGAGGCGGGAGGGATCAAAGGGATGGGGCTTCCCTTCGACTCAACTACGATGTTGCTCAATTTCGCTGTGGTTTCGCTTTGGTTGGCTTGCTCGCGGAGGGGAGCTCATGGAAAGGCGGGGAGCGGCGACGGGCCTGGGGAAAGCGGAGGCAAACGCGACGGCGACGACGACGACGAGTCAAACAGAACAGCGTCTTCCACACGCCGACAGGTTCGGCGGATTTCCGTGGCCCAGGGTCCGATGGTATCCACATCCACGGCTTCTTGGGGTCGTGGGGCATCGGCCTTGTTCCGAGGCGGTGGACATGCACAGTCAACACGCCGTAATGAGGACCTCTCCGGCATCAGGAGGTGCTAAGGTTTTCGGGACGTTCTTCAGATTAAAGCGAGGGAGCCTCCTCGTGGTCGAGGCTCGGCTAGGCCAGAACAGCCCATCGGTTCCTTGTTCGACGTGCCTTATGGTGGCACGATGACTTTATGAATATTGGCCTCGTCAGGTAAAGGGGGGGAGAGAACGAGGAGGATGAGGAGGAGGAGGAGGAGGAGAACGAGGAGGAGGAGGAGGAGGAAGAGGAGGAGGAGGGGCAGGCTTGGTCCGCGGCGGCGGCCTGCCCGGACGGCCTGGAAGATTACAGGCGCCCGCTGGGGCTCATGCCGACAGGGGCACCGCTGGCCGCGCCACCGCCCGGAGGCCTCCCGGAGGCCTCCCGGAGGAGGGGGGCAAACGCAGGGTGGTGCTGGGGACCACAGGCTACGCCGCAGAACGCTGTGCCAGGGTGGCGGGGCGCGCCGCTGCTCTCCTGGACAAGCTCGCGGAGCTGCCCGAAGAGGCCTCGCCGCACCTGCCCGGGACGCAGGCGGCCGCGCTGCTGCTGCGACACTGCGGCGCGGGAAAGATCACGCACTTGCTCCGGAGCACGCCGCCGAGCAGCACGGCGGCGGCAGCGGCAGACTACGACGAGGCCCTCTTTGCGGCCTGCCAGCGGCTGACTCGCCTGGACCCGCTCGCGGAGCACCAGCGCGCGCAGTGCAGACTCCCGCTGCGCTTGGGCGGCCGGGGCCTCCGCAGCCAGGAGCAACTCGCGCCTGCGGCGTGGGTCGGCTCCTGGGCGCCAAGCCTCTCAGAGGTGCACGCCCGCACGGACCTGGCCGGCCTAGCAGCCCCAAGCGGCCGACTGCCAGGCCGCGCAAGAGTTCACGTGGCGGCTGGACCAGGAAAACCTCTTGGCCCTGCGGAGCACCAGCACCAAAGAGGACCGGGCGAGGCTGGTTTCCTGCGGGGGGGCGCGCGCTGAAGGCTGGCAGCTGGCCTCGCCAGGCGCCGCGGGACAACGTCTCAGCAACGCGGACTATTGCAGTTCCGCCCGCGAGGTCCTTGGCCTAGCAAGCTTCTACCTCGCGCCGCTGGGGGCTTGCTGCAGCAACCAGACGCGCACCAGCCCGCGCGCGGGCCGCCTCTGCGGCGAACCGCTCTGCAGCAAGGCGCGCCACGCCTTTCGATGTCCATGTGGCGGGGGCGTCAAAGCCCGCAGCAGGGATGTCGAGGACGTGCGGGGGCGCATTCACACCGAGCGCGGCTTCCACGCGGTTCGCCAGGGTCCCGTTCCCCCCGCGCAGGACCGGCGGGCGTGGTGCTGCGGCCCGTGCGACGCGGAGAGCACGGCCAACCGGCAGCCGGGCCCCTGCGTCGCCTGCGGAGGCCTGGCGCGAGGATGCGATCTTCGACCTCGAGGTGCAGCGTACGGGCTGTCCGCGCGTCTTGATCGACGTGACAGTCCGGTTCGCTGCGCCCGGAGACGCCGACGGGCTGGCCGCCGCGGCCCAGCACCGGCCCAGCACGAGGGCGCGGTCAACGCCGCGGCCGAGGCCGACAAAAGGCGGCGGTGCCCCGAGGCCTGCGGCCCTGGCCGCTGGTGCCGCTTGCCCTTGAAACAGGCGGCCGGCACGGCAAGGCGGCGCACCGTTACTTCCGCCAGCTCGCGCGGGAGCAAGCGGAGCTGGTGGACGAGGAGCGCGTCGTGGCGGTGGCCAGCGCCCTGGCGCAGCGTTGGGGCGCTGAGCTCATCCTCGCTTTGCACCGCACCAAGGCGCGGCAGCTGCGAACCGACCTCGGCGGGGGCCGCGTTGCCCGGGCCGCCGAGCTGCTGGCGGAGGTGGCTGGCTAAGCCGACAAATCGTGATGCTCTATTGGGTGCTCGCGCTGCCCTACGAGCTTAGGGTGCGCGTCCGGCGCGCGTCTGCGACAGACCCGCCGCGGCGCCTGCAGGAGGGGGAGGAGGAGGAGAGAGAGAGGAGGAGGAGGAGGAGGAGGAGGAGGAGGGAGGAGGGAGGAGAGGAGGAGGAGGGAAAGAAGAAGAAGAAGAGGAAGAAGAGGAGGAGGAGGAAAGGAGGAAGGAGGAAGGAAAGGGGGAAGGAGGAGGAGGAGGAGGGGAGGAGGGAGGACGAGGAGGAGGAGGCGGAGGCGGAGGGGGAGGAGGAGGGAGAGGAGGAGGAGGAGGAGGAGGAGGAGAGGAGGAGGACGAGGACGAGGAGGCGGAGGAGGAGGAGGAGGAGGAGAGGAGAGGAGGAAGGAAGGGATACAAGCGTCGGAGGGAGTGAAGGAGGAGGAGGAGGAGGAGGAGGAGGAGGAGGATAAGCAGGAGGAGGAGGTGGAACAGGAGGAAGAGGAGGAGCAGGAGAAGGAAGAGGAAGAGACGAGGAGGAGAGGGAGTCGGAGAAGAGGGGGTCGGAGGAGGCGCAGGAGGAGGAGGAGGAGGAGGAGGAGGAGGAGGAGGAGGAGGAGGAGGAGGAGGCCCCAAGAGGGCCGCAAAGAAGCTTCCTCGTCGAGGGGGGGCCCTCCCCCCCCCGCGAGAGCGCTGCGAAGCGAGGCGCCCAGGCGGTCCGCGAATGCGCCGGGGACGGGCAGCGACCCCCCGTGCACGTGAAACGGCGTCGGCGCCTGCCCCGACATCGATGGACCAGACACGGTGACCATGACGAAAATGTTGCGGGGGCGGCCGACTCCATAACTTCGAGGGCCGAGTGCCTGGAGCGGCAGCGGGTGAGCGCAATGCGCATCCAGAGCCTCGCGGTCACAAAGGGGCGGGACAACTTTGGAGTCGACGGCCTCCAGGGGAAGAGACACGGTGACCATGGCCAAGGTGTCACGGGATTTCGTCGATGCTGGTCTTACTCGTGGTCCATGCCAGCCGTCGTCGATTGGCGAGGGTTGCCCACGCACTGGCGGTGGCCAAGGTGGACGGTGACCAAGGGCGAGATGGACGTTTCAACGATCCGTCCAGGTCATGGGTATTGCTTTTTGTCTCATCGGCGGCCTAAGTCGGGGAAGCCCAGGGACCACTCCGATACGATCGAAGCAAATTCGAAATACGTTCCGGCTGGCCTGGTTCAATTCGATTTTGGCGATCTGTGTTCGCACAGCGTTGTTGTGCATCGCGGCGCTGCCGATCCGATTCTATTCCGACTCCGTGCTAGCGCAGGCATATCGGACGCACATTCCGATCCCAGACTTTGGACGCCCGAAATGGGTACGGAAAGAATGGGTACAATGCCCAACAGCAGTTCTTGTTCATCTTGCACAGGATTCGCTGTCCACGCCGCCGCGGCCTGTGTCCATTCGAGACAGGAGGCCGCATGCCCAACAGCGGCCGCTGTTGGTTTGGGACAACATTTGTTCTTGGGCACTGCACCCACTTGTTCCGTACCCACTCCGGGCGTTTAAACAGACATGCGACGCCCTGAAATTTTCAGGGCGGCGTCCCTGGAAATCCCGACCCCTTCCCGGCGTGGGCCTGGGGCGGCCGCCGCGCCCCCCCCCACCGGGCGCCCAGGTACCACAAGGCGCCGCAGAGGCTGGAGGACGAGTACGAGCCCATCAAGGGGAAGGCGCGGCCGCGCCGGACGGGGGAGGAGTATAAGCCGGC